TGGAAAGTACAATATCCAATTGAATGAAATAAAATGCTTTTGTATCTAATCACACCTAAAGTCTTCGAACAGTACCAGTAATTCGTCATTAGGAATCTCAAAGAGTCAAGGGGAGAGAGTTGCACTTACGAGTCCAATATTACAATGTTGGAACCTTTATTGATCTTCTTTAGGTATGATATCTTAAGTGCCACCATTTCAGCTTCAACTTTCTTGGCACTTCTTACAAGACTTTGGAGCTTGCTTGGTAACTCTTCTAAACTGAAGAAATTAAACACAAGTACAAGTTTTAGTAGTTAGGCGTAACTCCTATGAGAACCAAGCGTTGCTACGATTTAAGCAAAGGTGAGTGTTCAGCTAATCACATAATTCTATTTCCACTTCTTAGTCCCTCTTAGTTTTTTACCAAGTACTTCAAATATTTTTATTTAAGTCACTTATATGCTGCAGTTTTTTCGGAATTTACTTATGTACAGTGAATGTTTCTCTCTTCTTTTTAGTACTTGTATAATTTTATTTTCAATGTCCTCCTCTTCGATATTGTGGACAAGTACTCACTAGCTTCTAGTCTTCTACAAGTTTGCACTAGGCAACAAACGGGTTAAAAATAAGTGCCACAACACATTTGCAAAGTATTGAGAGTCACACAACAGTTTAAAAAATTTATGTAATTCCAACAAAACGGGTCTTAGTACAAAAGTACTCACGGAACAGATATCAACTTGTTCTTGGCACTTGGAGGAAAGCGCGGAATACCAGCCTTGCCTTTATCCTTCTCTGATCTTATATCAACCATAATATAGTTCTTTTTGGACATCAGATCCAAGGCTTGAGCAGGAGACAAGTCACCTACAGAACAGTATGCAAAAACAGAACTCGAAATATTGAATAAATTATATAGAAAAAATACAAGTGGCCATGCCTTAGATGCTGGTTCAGACGAGAATAGAAGTTACAGTTGGATGAAAATTTTAAGAAGAAATTTGGAGATGTTCTCTGTCAACTTATTCAAATGGGGAAAAATTAAAAGAATGTTGGAGAATTCATGCAATGGGGTAAAATTACACCACTTGTTTCTATGCTTAAACTGACATCAGTTATTCAACACATGTAACATAGTCCCAATAATAACAATTGATCCACGTAGCATATTTTTGGAAACAGGGATTTGACTAATATTTGAGTAATCTCAATGTACAACAGCAACAGGGTTTTAAGATCAGAATGCTAGTTTATAAGGTAAACTAGTGTCCTGCTTCTAGCAGATTTGGAGAATCTCAAACTTTTGCCTCCTCTATTGTATAAAATACTATGCAACTATTCAGAATACATGTAAAACTCACATAATTCTATTGAACCTTCAAATGTGTGTATTCTGAACGAGCCATTTAACTAACTGTCAAAGATTTCATGCAACATGGAAAAAATATCACACTTCCAACCAAAATTAGAGCAGATAATACCCTGGTAACCCCGAAGGCTGAAGGATAATGTAGAAAAGACAGGAGGAAGTAAAAAGTATCCAACAACTAATCCACCCAAAATTAAAGTAGGCTCTGCCGATGAGATGGTTTCAACAGTGGAAACGGCTATGGGCTTTGCCTCCTCAATTAACTTTGCTGTTCGCTGAGCAGCGTCAACAACCGTCTGCGGAAAAATCATCATATGTAATAAAGTGACCGAAGATTATAACAATTAGACTAAGCTTATTAAGTTTTTTACATGGTTCAAGAAAACATAAAACTTTAAATATGATTTCCCTAATAATCCTTTGTAAGTTGGTAATTATTCCATTTTCATGGTTTTATGCTGTAGATAACCACTTAAACTAAATAAGGGCATAAAAAAGATTTCTTAACTTCCTATATCAAAGTAAAATGTTTGTTGGGACAACATAAACATTAACTATGCCTACCTATTCTTAAATCACCTAAACTATTTGTATAGGTGGACCAATTAAAATAATTCATTGATACAAGAATAATAAAAAATAAAACCAAATATAAAGGGAATTGATGAGTCATCATTCATGTTTAACATGATGTTAGATATTATAAAGTGTGCTCAACATTGTCAACATTAAATGTCATCCACCTCATCGTGAAAGAGCTCATGACAAGTTATATTGGAGAATAAATTAGTAAAACACTTCTTTTGAAGATATGGACGATTTTTTATAATGTCAAAAGCTACATTGGAGATGCTCTAATGCTAGAAATTAACGCATTTTGGAGTATGCCTTAGCTGCATTCATCATCGGTTGAGTGTCGATTCCAGTACTCTGAATGGCTTCCTGTGCTTTATTGGAAGCATCTGAAAGCAGTGGAGAAGCGATCTTCACAGCCTGCTTTCCAGCTCCCTCTAAGATAGGCAAAGCCACGTCAAAACCCGGCTTCACAGCCTTTGTCACAGCCCCAACCACCTGACCTGCACTACTGAAAAAAATTGATCCCAACTCTTGGATTCCATCGATTGTTGACTCGACCTGGAGAGTAAGGATCAAAGAAATCTCTTTAATCACCTCTAAATTAATGACTGCAAATTTTCCCAAAAGAGGCTCAATCAAACATGTGGTCCACAGTGAGTGTTGTTTTGACTCATCAATAAGTTCTCAAAAGGAATGACATTTTGATGGTATTTGTTTTGACCTGTCAATAATTTTGCAAAAAAAGAGAGCCATTTGAGTAATTACTGTTGAAAAAATGGTTTCGGTTTTCAGAATGACAGGAGAACCAGCAAATGAATGACTTTTGATTATATTATTTTGTAAAATACCGGCTTAATACACACCCTGCCTGTCATAGAACACATATGGTGCAAAAACAAAGAAACTAAATTGAAATGGGAATATTCAAAATTGAGAAGATTGTGGAACCTGAGTTAGAGTAGAAACAATCTGGTCTTTAGCAAGAACCTGAGCTCTGGCTTCATGAGGAGTTGGTAAGAGAAGAAAGAGAGGCGGAATAGCAGTTGCAGAGAGTGATAAGGAATTGGGTAGGGTCAATTCATGCGACCTTGAAGATGTGTTGAATTTAGACGGAAAAAGAGTTGATTTGGGTGGCGGGGAGAGCGAAGTCAGAGTAGAAGGCAAGGGCGCGGAGGATGAAGCTCTCAAGGCCATAAGCTTCACAACTCACTCACTCTCACTCTCTCTCTCTAAAAGTTTGTGGTTGATGTCTGTATTTATCTGAAGTTTTGATAGTTGAGCGGTTGGAAAAATTGTACTCCCCCTCTGTTTCTTTGTAGATGTCGTTTTAATTTAAAACTTCTAAATTATAATTTTCATGGGATGTGTAATAATTTTATATATTAATCCTCATAAATTTAGTGTTTGAATTATTAATGGTTGGTTTTCAAAGATACTGATAAGAGATAAAGTTTGTTAAAGAGGATAAAGTTTAAAGAATGAATAAAATATTTCCAAAGACAATTAATTTGCAAAAATGTTGACATCCTACAACGACATGTATTAAAAAACAGAGGGAGTAATATTTTCTTGCACTAGTGCGTGGCCTGTGCGATGCGGGGCAATAATATTACGATTGTATTATAAATTAAATATATAAATAACATTCATCATAATTTATTCATTGTTTTTAAATTAAATCGGGTTGGACACAGTCCGGCCGGATAGACCGAGAACCGGTTTACAACCAGTCTACTTGCTTGTATAAAATATTTGCTATCGAATCTGTCAACACCAGTCGGTTTGACTGGTAGGATCGATATCGATTTTCTAAATAAATTTGGCTACTTTTAAAATTATTATAAATAAAATTACACATTTAAATAAAATAGAGATTTATAAACTCTTTATCGATTAGTTTAAATATTTGAATTTATAAATTGTTTAGATATTTAAGTATTTTTATTTATTTAAATTTATCACAAAAAGTATTATATATATTAAAATATTTATAAATTAAAATCTGAACAAACCACAAATAATTTAATAAAATAACTTGATCGTTTCGATGACGGTCCGGTTCTGAAAACCTTATATTTACAGTACATTAATAAAAATTATAATAAAATATTATTTTATTTACAAAATTATTAATAAAATGATATATAAATATTTATAAATTATTAAGCATGTTGTCATAAAAATATTGTTATAATTAATATGATGATTTGAAGTTTGGACTACATCACATTCACGTAATAAAGTATTTTCAATATTAAAATATTTTATGATTTATATAATAAATGTCTACATCAAATGATAGTATATTAAGATTATAAATTATATATCTAAAGATGAATTAATTATTTTTATTTTATGCATATTAATAAAAAATGCCTCTCCTTTTAGTCGAGCATATGTTATAACTGTTAGAGTAGGGTACCCGGCGTTCCAATCTAATTGGACGTATTCTACTTGTAAATACAGTCTATTGGAATTATATTATGAATAAGACATTTCTTTATCTTAAGAGAAAGCATTTATCTTATAATTGCACTTAAGATAAAATTCCTAGATCACTTATGGTTATAAGGTATGGTTGCGCATAGAGATGGTGATCATGGAACATACCTTGAAAGCCGTTGTTTATCCCATTTTTGTTGTATTTTTCGTTATTGTGTTATCAATATTTTTCCCCCGTTTTAGGTCCTTTCGTGAGTTTTTATTCCGTTTTGTGTTTTATTATGTGTTTTGTTCCATTTTTGTTTTCTTTGTGTTTTTCGTGTGTTTTTCTCCTTTTTCTTCTTGTTTTTGGTGTGCAGGTCGAAAGTCTCGTGAGGAGCCGATTTAGCTCAACATAGACCGGGCAATCATGGTTGTGTAGATGGACTTGTTGGATACACATAGGAAAAAGCGGAATTAGAATTCGAGTTCGGATGAACCCGGACGGAGCCAAAGCGTGAAGCCGCGTGAAGTCGCATGCGAACGTCTCTAGTGTGATGGTCAAGAGCTTCGGGAGAACCGGTTTTCGAGAATCTTGTGGGGAAGCTGACACCATTGGATAGAGGGATTCGTTAGCTACGCGTAGGAAAAAACGGAACTCAATTCCGAGTTAAAACGAACCCGAACGAGCAAAAATCGTAAGATGGTGCAGTGCAGATTTTGGTCTCCGCGGCCGCGGGATTTTCTTCGCCGCGGCCGCGGCGAACAAAAACAGCCAGGTCCCAAATTTCAGCAGCAAAAAGTCGCGGCCGCGGGATCAGGTCGCGGCCGCGGAGGTCGCGACAGCAGGGTTTTAAAAGCAGTTTTCAGATTCGTTTTTAGGGAGTTTTTGGCGAGGTTTGAACACCTCTCGACCGGGGTGAAAACCCTAGGTCCCGAGAGAACACAAAATCTCTTTCTCCTCTTTTCTTTCTTCTTCTTCCTCGTTCCTTTTCTTCTCTTAATCATTATTTTCCATTTTTCTTCTTCTTTTTCTTAGTTAGGGATTAAGCTTGTAACTCGAATTCAACATCTAAACTTGGATTGATTGTAAGTATTTCTTTCTCTTGTTTAATTCATGAATAATGGTTGACTTGAGTAGAATGATTATATTTGTTGAATTTGATTTATGTAGCTAATTCCTTCTGCTAGGGATAGGGGATGATTGTTCTTGATTAATTTCGTTATTATTGGGCTTTAATTTGTTCCTGCTTGTGCGAGTTGCTTTAATTAGAGTTAATTAATTCTTACTTGATAACTTGATATAATCGAAGGGTGACACTTCGATCTTGCAATTGGTATCAACTGAATGTTAATTTGTCGAGTTAGGGTTTGTTGGTTCTATATGATTAGTTGATTAAACACCTTCTAGTTGAATTAGCGACTTTTAGAACCGAAAGGGGAGAAGTCGTAGACCTAGGCTCGCATGAGATAGATGATTTCGTAACTGAATAGTCTATAGGTTTTGGATTGAAATACACACTTGCCGATGACCCGTCTCTTGTTACGAAAAGTTATTGAGACTGGGATAATTGACATGTGTTGTATGCTTGAGCTAGCTCGTCTATGTTCAATCCCTTGTTACGAAGAGTTATTGGGAGCGAACCGCTAGATGTCTAAGCGAGAGTGTCAATCTCAAACCGAACAATTGATTGCCCGGTTTTGCTTAGAACTTGAATAAATTATCCCCGATTTCCTAGCTTCTTTATCGCTTTCTAGTTCGTACTTTAGGTTCGTTTTTGTTTGCTGTTGATTTCTTAGTTGATAATATATTCCTCATTTCTGATTAGAGTGTTTAGGTTTTTATCTTCTTTTTGCGTGAAATCAATACCGAAGTTAAATTCCGAACCGCCTTCCTCGAGAGATCGACCCGGGAAACGAATCCTTGATTCGGTACTCGGTAAAATATAAAAATTTGTACACAACAAATTTGGCGCCGTTGCCGGGGAAGGCAAGTAGGATATTTGGTTCTGGTGTTGATTTTATTTTCTGTGTTTCTCTTTATTTTGTGTTGTTCGTGTTCGTGTCCTTTGTTTGCATCTTTGTTTTTCTTTTTTGTTTTTGTTTTAGTTTTCGTCCTTTTCTCCTTCCTTTTCGTGGCTACGTGTGGTTGTTCTATTTTGGTGTGCAAGAGATATGAACTTCAACCGTACTTTTCCCTATCCGCACACCCAACCTTGGGGTTACGAGCCGAGCTATCACACCGGGTACCACAACCAATCATATTCATATTCTTCCGAGCAGTACTGGGATCCCTACACAGTCGAGCAAGCTTATGAGTCCCACGAGTTCAACGAGAAGCTCGACCGTATCTATGAATTCGCGTCATCCCGATTAGCTCAGGATGAAGAGACCGCAACCCGGTATACCCATCCGCATCAGTCACCTTCATACCACGATTTTTGGGACTATGGCCAGACTTGGTCATATCCTTACGAGCAGCAATGGGAGTCTATACCTGTTGAGCAGTCATGTGAGTCCCTCGAGGACTCATCAGAGTACAATGCCAAGCTCGACCAGGCCCTCGCTCTTTTAGCCTCCCAAGCGGCCCGTAGGAGCAATATTGAGTCCAAAATCGAGAACCTTGTGGAGCGCGTGCAAGCATTAGAGGATCAAGTTAACAATGTCACTCCCGAGCCCACCGCTCAAGGCGAATCTATACATAGTGATGAACCTCGGGAGGCTGCTTTGACATACGATGAAAAGCTCGACCTCATCCTTGCTCACATATCTGCCCAGGCCACTCGAGATGTGGAGAATCTTAAATACAGTTCCAAGTCGATGGATGTTTCGAGATGGGATATCGAATAATCCATAAAAGACTTGCACATAGTTTGTATGCTTGGTGGACAAGAATGTTGCATTCCATCAACATTAGCGTAAGACGTAAGTACATTTATGTGGGTGCTTGTTAGAGAACAAGTTCACTGAACATGACCGTATGAAAAATTCTTAATGAAGAATTTATTCAGTCGAATAAGAATTTTCATGTTACAATAGTACATGACTAATCCTAAGACTTGAGGCACAATGGTAACTTTGTGCATATTACATTTTACTTTGATTTATCTTTTTGGTAGCTAGCACTATCGTTTAAAGGGATAAGTTGGGTATTATGTTAATATGTGTGGAAGTTTGTTAGTGGCCAATAAAGGATTCGACACTTATGAAGATAAGTGAATTTCCTATGTGTTTCATAGTTATTAATCCAAAGTCCTTGGCCAAGGCAGAGATGAATAGTGATTCATAACAGGGTTAATAAACTTGAAATAGAATCATAGTTATTAAGTCAATTTGGGTTTCGACAAAATCATACCCAAGACTTAATCGGGAAATTAGATGTCGAAAGGATTTTACATGTATGGAGTTGTAATCGGAATAGGTTTACTCGCTATTCACTTAATACTAGATTCATGCTACTTGCTAGGTGTTCCCATGATATGTGGGTTCTTGAATTAAAGGGTTAATTCATGAATAAGAATTAATGTGATTAACTCAAATTACAAAGAGTTGTAAACCCACTACTAGTATTAAGGTGAACCTAAAAGGTCACACCTATTATGAACAAAGGTGAAAAATTGTATTTCTAAAGAGTTAGAATTAATTGACATAATCTAATTTGATTAGATATCAATTAAAAGGAATATATTAATCAATAAGATTGATTAATTACATTTTGGATATTACTTTAGTAATTAAGGTAATTACTAAATTAATATGTTGGAATTTAAAATTGGATTTTAAATTTCCAAACCAAAATAATAATAATATGATTATTATAATATGGATGTAAATTGGGAAAATGAATATAATAATAAAGTCTTGAAAAGATTCTCAAGATTTATTATTCTATTATTATTTTTATCTTTAAATATGATTTAAGGATTAAAATAATAAATATGATTATAATAAAATGGTGGTTAAAGGTGGTTTGAACCACTTAACATTATTTATTATTTTCAAAGTCAATAGTTAGTAAATTCAAAGTCAATAGTTAGTAAATATTATTTAAATAAAATCTGATTTTATTTAAATATTACTAAATGTTGATTATTTTATGCTAAAATGTTTAGTATAAATAGATGCAAAATGGTTTTGCATTTAAGGTGAATTCATTCCTAAAATTTCTAAGTGTTAGAAAGAAGAATAGTTCTTCATAAACATCAAGAAAGAATTCTTGAAAATTCCCAAAATAAAATTCATAAATATTCCTATACAAGAAAACCGAGACATTCCTACTAGCGAAGGAAGGTCGTCAGAACCGAGCTTCATAGGGTGGATACGTTTAGAGGGAAGACACTTGGATTCCTAAAGTGAGTAACATCAATCCGTTGAAGTTATCAAACCGGGAACCGATTCCCACAATCCACATCGTCGTTGAAGGAGTTCAAGACATTCGGTAAATACTTTGTATTTGTATTTATTTTATATAATAAATCAAAATTTGTATATGATGCATGTTTTAAAGATGACTATCAGTTAATTCGCAATTAGTATGTACGGGTGTTGTATTTATACGATAAATACTTATTTTGAAAAATTTTAAATTCCGCTGCTTAAAGCCCGTACGGTACTAGCGAACACAACAATAACCTCTCGCGTGAGCTCGACTTCAAGGAGAGCAAAGACCCAAAGATTAATTATTTTTACTTTATGCATATTATAAACATAGTAATTTTCAAAAAATTAAGATCAATTGATTGATTATGAATTTTAAAGAATATGTGTATTTTCAAGGAATAAATTCCTTCATATAAGGGATTTTGTTTCTTTAAACTATCCAAATTTATATTCATATCGGCAATTTGAAATTTTGAATTACAATAGAACACGACACTAATAAAATATCCTTTAACAAATAAATCAGATTCAATTTAAGATTTATTAGTTTTAAAAATAATAAAATCATTAATTTAGGCAATGATATGTGATACATATATCTAAGTCTAATTACATAATGTTTTACCATTAAACCATTGGCAATTTAAATAAGAAGCTAAATTTAAAGAAAGAAAATAAAAATTTTTATCAATTTATAATAAATGTTGCCGTGTTTAATTTTTTGTTAACAAATAATTTATTTTTTATTAACAAATGAAAGTTGCCAATCAAAACAAATGCATTTGCCATTTTTCTGTTAAAAAAGAAAGAAACAAACGCGCTCGAATTTATTCGATAACAGCCTTAGAAACTTGACAAAATATCCAATATTTATTTCCGACGAAGTAATCGTACTGTGTATTTGTGTATCCTAATAAAAAAGTCTTATCGCACTGTGTATTTGTGTATCATAATAAAAAATACTTACTGCTTGCAGAACTGAGTGATATGGCCGTGGCAACGATTTTTTATTTAATTAGCCGAATCATTTTTTATTTAAAAATACAAAACTGTCAAATTTTATGTGGTCAGCCGAATCTTTCCCGATAATGTGGTCATTAATGTAACAAACTCCACATGGTAAGGATTGCATTTAATGTTGTCCGTGTTCTTAAATTAAAAATAAATGTTGCCGTGTTTAATTTTTTGTTAACAAATAATTTATTTTTTATTAACAAATGAAAGTTGCCAATCAAAACAAATGCATTTGCCATTTTTCTGTTAAAAAAGAAAGAAAGAAACGCTCTCGAATTTATTCGATAACAGCCTTAAAAACTTGACAAAAGATCCAATAATTTATTTCCGACGAAGTAATCGTACTGTGTATTTGTGTATCCTAATAAAAAATTCTTATCGCACTGTGTATTTGTGTATCATAATAAAAAATACTTACTGCTTGCAGAACTGAGTGATATGGCCGTGGCAACGATTTTTTATTTAATTAGCCGAATCTTTTTTTATTTAAAAATACAAAACTGTCAAATTTTATGTGGTCAGCCAAATCTTTCCCGATAATGTGATCATTAATGTAACAAACTCCACATGGTAAGGATTGCATTTGATGTTGTCCGTGTTCTTAAATTAAAAATAAAAAAATTTGCCATTAATAGAAAGTAATTAATGCTAAGCGTCTTTGACCATAGAATTGACCTGCCATTTTTAAAAAATGGTGATTTTTATTATATATATATATATAGATTTTACATTAAAAAAAAAGTTTTTTAAGCTTGCAAATGATGCCAAGAAAAGATTGATTTCATCCAACATGTTGTCTAAAAATCAGATACTTGCCATGATTATAATTCCCAAAATTGTTGCTGAGAAGTTAAAGTGGCGAAAAAAAAAATGGTCATTATATTTTTATTTTTATTTGGTTAGGATGAAATCAGATTAAACAAAAAGAGTTTTTAGCTAGCGATTTGCAAGAAATAAGCGATATAATCTACAACCGCAATTGGAGAAAGTAAAACTCTAATTCTTGTTCCGGCGGATGGCCCAATCTCCGTTGTGTTGTAGTTTGTTTTGGTTGTTGGTGTCGAGTTGTGTTGGGGGAGGCTCCGGTTGTCGGGCCCCAGAGCTGTGTTCTAATGGTGATCCGTTTGGAATTAGGATTAAGCCTTGTTGTTTTCGATCAAGTTAGCCATAGCATGTTCAGGTAATGAATTTGGAGTTTTTAGATGAGTCCGGACTTTCATCCTTTTTTTCTTGGGGTTATCTTCGGTCGTCGTCTTTGCTCGGGTGGTTAGGATTTTGTAATTGGTAGTGAGGAAGGCTTTATTGTAGCAAAATAAGTGTGTGTTGTTGTTTATTGTATTTCTCTTTTGTTCGTCGTGTTAGTCCAGTTGAGTCTAGCTTGTAGTCTCCTTTATAAAGTTTTTTTTTTATTTTTTTTTATTTTTATTTTTTCCCTTCGAGTGTTATCCCCCTGTAGTCAATTGTGTAATCCCAACAAGGTAGATCTAATCTTTGTGCTTGTTCTAGTTGTGTTCTTCGACGTATCGGGTGTACTCGTTTTGAGTTTTTTAGTTTTTAATTAACGGATAACTTATAGTAGACCGTATTAATTACTTGTAAATAATTATTTTGTACAAACACCAATCAAATTAATTATTTATTAAACAAACTAATTAGCAATTTTGATGGATCAAAGCACCAAATAAGGTTTAATCAGCCAATTTTACACCGACTTACCAACATTCAAACATAGTCTGACCCCCCGTGGGTACCTGCTCCGGTGCGGTTCGAGGCTCTCGCCCCTGTGCGGTCCGTCTCTCTCGGCGCAGATGTCGCCCTTCCCGGGTTGTTGCGGCGGTTATTGAGGAGACCCCCCGGTGGAGAGGGCGGGATTGCGGGCATCGCTTGTCTCATCGCGACAGACGGTGTTTTGGCCGGCGCTGGCGCTTCCCTCTGTTGTCTTCTTCGATTCCTGGGTTGGAATGGTGGAAGCTCTCCGCTGGATTGTGGGAGGGAGATGGTTTTGGTGTGGGCTTCCGGGGTGGTTCTGAGGTTGGTCGGTCTGTTACGAGGTAGATCTACGGTACCCCTCATCCTATCGGTGACGGAAGTGTCGAGATCTGCCTCTTGGGCGCATTTTGGGCGTTGGCCAGGCTTGGAGGGGTCGTTTTTCGGCCTTCGTCTCGCGGGGTGAAGTTCCGTTGCTAATTCGTGACCGTAGGGGAGGGCTCTAGTTTATATTTTTTCGTTTTTAGTATTGGGTATATTTCAGTTAGTTTCTTCTAGTGTTTCTAGTTTGTGTTTGCCTAGGCCGGTCTTTTGGCACTGATGGAATTGAATGATTAACCTGGGTGGGCTCGATCGCTTATTGATTGCCATTCGGGGTGGCGGTCAAACAATTTCATTAGTGTTGCCGGAATGGGATTGTCGTGTTGTGTTGTTTTGTTGTTTAGCTTGTAGTAGTTTCTCCCGTAGGGAGTGTGTTTCTCCCGTATGGGAGCTTTTTCTCCCCAACTTCTTTCTCCCGTAGGGGAGTTCTTTCTCCAGTTGTGGAGTTTGTGTTGTTTTGTTAGTGGGTGCGTTCTAGGCGATCCATTGGATCTGTCCTCCCACTAGATGTCCTCCCACTAGATTCAGCTTTTGAGCTGTCTTTTCGGCTTTTGAGCTGTTCTAGATGTATCTATGTGTTTTATGATATAAAATTTCTATCGTTTTGGAAAAAAAAAAAGAGATATGAGATAAATGAACTACCACCAAAATTTTCTATTGAACTTGTAGAAACCAATGAAAGAAAATGCACCCAATGAAAGAAAATGCAAGATGATGTCAAGAATAGATTTAAGAAATCATCAACTCGGCCTTTGATGGGATTTTGGTATAGGTTAATCTACTAACATAGCAGATGCTTGATTTACTTGTAAGAATCAATAAGCTTAATATTTGAAATAATTCCCCAAGCAAGTTTGAGAAGTTAGTATATAAACTAACTACTGTGTACTGGTTTATGCTTTTGTACCTTCAACAGATCAATCTTGAGCTTCTACTGAAACAACTTTATGGAGTTTTACAGTACACACGCACTTTGATAGAGAAACATTTACAGCTATCAATTTTTACTTATACCACTATAGATTTGAACAGTTCTCCAGAGCAGGTAATAGATGTTGTCGGCTCAAGATTCATAATTTCGTTCATGACCTCAGCTTTGTCCGCTACAAACATTTCATCCTCTACAAGATAAATTAACACATACTCATTGTATCTTCAGTAAATTAAATAGAAATTGTATGATTAATGGAATCCCTACCTTTGTCTGTGTTGAATTCCTCAAAAAAGCGCAGAAGTTTACTTTTGTTTGCAAATAGTATGTTGGCAATGTCAGCAGGCTTGTTCTGGTTAGCCACGAAAAGCTGCATGATAGCAAAAATAAAGATGGAAATAAATAATAAGAAGCCAGCTATCAAAATCATCCAACTTCATTAATGAATAAATTTCAAGTCTTAGATGAAACCTTGAATACGTGAAATGCATCAATCTGGATGCTCTTGTGTGATTCCTGCAACACGAATGTAATCTTTTTGGAAATGACAAATGTAGAAGTAGCTTGGTCATCTAAGTTTTCCATCATCGAACTTGCTTGTTTGCAAATGCGTTAATTATTTGTTTACATTTCAAATTTGACGCATAAGATGATGTATCTTCCCAAACTGAAGCACATAAAAGACACTCGAAGACTAGTTTGGAAGCAATTAACCGCTCTTTCGTAGAAAGATAAACAAGTAACCAAGTCCGATGAAATTCAATACAATAGAATGCTTATAATTAGATTTCATTTGACCTTCCCAGTAGTTCGGGACCTCGGATTCCGTGAAATGCCAATGTACAAAACATATCTAAATAAAAGTTGAGTTGGAAAAAAAAAAAAAAAATTACCCTCAGAAGATTCATTAGCACTCTCATATTATCCTTTGAGCTAACATAACGCATCATGGTACCAGAATTTGATCTGTCAAGTAAAATATCTCCAAGAAGCTGAAAGTTAAATTAGCCGTCAGCAAAAAGATCAACATATTCTAAAACTTTAATGGGAGTGCTGCAGACATGACATTTATCACTTCTGACTCATTGAATTAAGCAACCAAACGCTTGATGCATCTCATTCGACCAACTTAACATCATGTACACAGTTGAATATTGATAAATATAACTGTTCATTTACTCAATAATAACCTCAAATATCAAATACCTTGACAGCGTGTCTTCTGGTCATGTAATTTGCAGATCCCAGCAACTTTGAGTTGAACTCAGCAAAGAACTAGGGGAAAGTGGAGAACATACACGTTCTTTATAAGCTAAAATGTGAAATTTAAGGGGAGTGATGGTACTATAGATGTATAAAACCAGTAAGTGGAATGGAAGAACAAAAAATAATTAGAATAGATTTCTCTGGGGAGATATTCCGGAAAAGGTATTTTAAAGGTAACATATTGTACACCCAATTTATTAGGTAGTACATTTTGTAACAGGAATTATTTTGTGGGATAAGACCAAGTTTAGTCCTTTTTTGGATAATATAAGATAGAGCATTGCATATCATCGCTTTTTTGTTTTGTATCAAAAAACATTACCACGATAGAGAGATAAAAGTGAAAGCAATACCCAATTATAATTATCTGTGAGAAAATTTGCAACTGTGGACTTGTGTCGTGTCATAAGCTCCTGCAGGTATTTTAAAGAAAAATAAATAAATCAACTTATTTTTTACTTACACAATTATTTTAGAAAGCAACGTTGGGAAATCTTTCTCTATCAAACAAATCATGGATATTCCAGAAGCATAATCTGAAGTTAAATGGAATTTGTGCATAATAATAAAAAAAGAATGGTAGAAGGGAATCATGACACAAGTAATTATGGTTTTGATGACAGTTTCAGTAACAAAAACAGGTTAGTGGTCTTACAACAGTACGTTTTCTTCCCTCCTAGAACTTTAAACCCGTGCCACAAAAGTTAAACATGGATTCATTTCAAGTCTTGCAGATGAAACCATGAATTGACCATTACAAGTTTCTCAAACTGTCAGGGTACAACTTTTGAATAAATTCTGATCTCCAGAATATTTAGATACCAGTAAACATTAAGCAAATTATCCAGATCTAGGTTCCATTATGAGTAGGTCAACATTCATCAAGAAATAAATATATAACAATAATTGTAACATACGTAGTTGGTGAATGAGCACTGCTAATATAGTTACAGACTATTAAATACCTTAAATGTAGCAGCAGCATCTGAAGCGACATCAAAATTTGGGAATTGAATATAGTCAAAAAACTTCTTCATATGCTCAGACTTCAAAATATAACTGTAGGTAATTTAATAAGAAAAATCACAAGAGAGAGAGAGAGAAGTTGTGAAGTTAGATAGCGCAAGTATAATACTGCTCAAATTATCATAAATTAGTCAAGGATAAAACACTTTGTCCAAAATAAAGGAAACGGCGGCCACAGCAGACCTTCATTAGATGTTGAATAATACCAATCTGAAATCTATATTTGCATGTCAACTTCTTACCTAGCAACAACTTGATGGCGTATGCATTCCCTTAACATGCCTCCGAAATGCAAAGCAACTGTAGGATCTTCATACCTACATGAAATAGAGGGTAACTAACTAAGTGGTGCATATATCCACATACTCACAAATGTTAGCATCCAAAAACTCATTAAATACTTGGGTCAGAATCAAATGGAAGCGTGATAAACTAGAGCATTTTATTTTCTGAAACTATGTTAACATGGATCAGAATCAAATGGAAGAGCCTCAGGGATCAAAACATTAGCACACATTATATTATACAATGTTGCGATTTAGTCTCAGAAGTTATGTTATTTAAGAATTCCAGCGGTGAAAAATCTATGAAAATGAGGAATCACACCCAAGTTACAAAGAGTACCCGAGCTTTTGCTTTACATATTTTTGTTAGAGCAAGTCACCTTTTTTTTTAACAAGGAAACACAGTAAGTTTTTTTAAAAGAATTATGACTTTTAACATAAAAAGGTATATAACCTTTGTACAACTGCAAAAGGAATTGGGCAAAACTATTTGACCCCTGAATCCAAAACAATCTGAAAAAGGATATTCAAGTTGCTAGAAAGATAAGTTCTTTACACAACTACAGCTGCCAATTATTCTAATTTCGTTTAACTCAATATTCTCATGTTCACACACATCAAATGTTACATATTAACAACCAGCACTACCAAGTATCTGTCTTTGTTTAAAAATAACTTCAACTATCTTAGATTGCCGATTTTATAGACACGTCAAAGAAACTTCAAATTCACAAATCATGGATAAGCTGAACTAGAAGAAATACTCATTGAATTTCCACGCACTTTCATGAGAGATCAAAAGTTTGTAAGTACTCCAACATATAAGATAGACAAAAATAGTTGACATTTGAGTTTAGCACATTATCAAGGTTGAAGGGTAACAAACCCAGTAATCAGCTGATCTATAAGATCCAAATTGGCTTCTAAGTAAGATGAAGCAATTAATCGTGATTGAACTGGTTGCCTTTGCAAATTTGCAACCACTCGAGTAGCATCCTTTCGAGCCTGTGGACAAATCATATATCAAATGTAGCAACGTTAAATTAGGATATGTGATGCTGACAAGTTCATACATATTTTGAGGAAATGGCATTCAGTGGTGGAATGAAAACATAGGCTAACAATAGTATCCAATTCACACTAGTTTGGGAGTCACCTCAAAGTTTAATTTTCGGAGACATGTAATGAGAAGTCGCATAGTGTCGTCGCTAAAAAACTCTTCAGTTAATTGCGCACAGGCTTCTGGAACAGGTTCGGATTCGTCAATACCATAAAGAATTGACTTCAGCTCCCTGATATTGGCATCCAACTGTTCCAACTGAAATTTAAAGGCTTCGTTATATTAAAAGATCCATTGAAAATAATGGTTATGGAAACCATAAAGTAGCCATCATAATTTCAGACTTTATTAGGCATGTGATTCTTTCTGTGTCTGATATTGAACTCAAAGAAGCTACAATTTGTAATTTCAAAGACAAGTCATGATTACATCAACTCTCAATCAGAAAACAACCAATGACATTGCTACTAGACATTCTCCATCTTGTTGAACGTTTGTGTTAAGACAAATTTTATCCACAGAACTAATGAAATGCTAGAGTTGGTTGAACATTAATATGGTGACTTCATTAAATCAAACATTGTACCCATATAAATTAAAATGATATATTTATGAAGAGGTTAGAAGAATGTAAATCAAATAAACAGAGTCCATCCTTCAACCACAAAAATTCATTTTTATTTTATTCTTACGAAAAAAAAACACTTTTCGTATAATATGGACAAAAGATGGTGAAAGTATAAAGTTTGGGAGAGGAAACCTTCTGAATTTACATTAAAACACCTTCAAAATTTTTTGGCTCTTCTAATATTCCCTCAAAATAAATAATTTGGCGGAAAGCTATTAAACCAACAAGCAAACGTTTGCTGCAATTTCAAAGTAAATCTCCTTTGCCCCGGTGCTTGCATTTCATCCATTCCTAAGATCTTATCGAACAGCAGTTTTGCATTTTCTATGCATAATACACAGATTTGGGCAGGCGTAATAATTTCTTTGTATTGAATATTCCGAAACCAAACATGATCTGAAATTTCCACAACCGAACGCAAGGAATCTAACAACAACAAAATGAACCTTGTCATCGTGTTTAGGATTGACATTGTCATCCTCAACGGAGATGTAGGACAACAATTCCCTAGTTTCGCGCACAATGTAAAGCGGAGCCCTAGGTTTCTTGGATTTGAAGAGGTTCTTCATGGATGCGCTGCGCAACACCTTGGGTACAAGCTTCTTGAAACTCATGGAGGAAGCCGATGATCTTCTGGCGAAGGCATCCTCCTTCTCCTTCTTCACCACCGCGATCGGCATCACCCCCGGCGGAATGAAATCCCGCCGGAACTACGATGGATTTTGAAATTCAGCTATTAGAAGAAGATTTCAGGTGAAGCTCGCTGGCTGGCTCTGGTTCAGGTTGTGGTAAAAGAAGAATGAATGTGGAGAGGATTATCTAGGAGAGGGGATGAAGAGCAGCAGTTGTCGGAGAAAGAAAAGGGAATTGTGAGAAGGAGCGATGCCATCATCTACTCTTTTGCGATTTTTTTGGTCTTAAAAAAAAATGACGAGATTTTATTGGATTTGGTATGGATTTTGAGAAAAAAAATATTATCATTATTATTACTATTATTATTGAAAAAAATCATTATCATTATCATTATTATTATTATTATTATTATTATTGTTATTATATGGAATTTATTTTATTTATGAAAACACCAAATTCATAGGAGTGCTTGTTGGGTTTTGGTTCAAAGGATGGCTAATTTGTCTCCTTTGCATGGTTTTTACTTTTTTCTATATGTATTCTCGTGGCTTTGTAGTCCCTCTACATATGTATAAGCCGGAGTTTGCATGCTTCATAGTGTGACACGTGGCTTAGGTATTTGGGCCAGTCCATCAATTTTTCCTTACAAAAAGGGGCTTTCACTTTTATTTTATTTATTTCAGGCCCATAAAAGTGGTTTGGTATGTATTGCTTTTTTAATTAGAATTTTTTATTTCACAACATTCTATTTTTCATTCTCATCCGAACCTTTTGTTTTCTTGGGAGGAATTCTTGCGCCACCTATGCCTCAATTTTCTTGAACTATTTGTTCCATTATATGATTTTAATACAGAATTTGCTTCGGCTTATGCTATTTCTCCCAAGGATTTTGTCGATCGAACCGCATCTGGGTTTCAAAGGGCCAAGGATATTCATTATTTTTTTACTGTTATTTTAATTGTTGCTTTTATATGGTTTATTTGGTTGATTTCGATTCTTATGATGTTTGTTGTAGTGTTTCAAGAAGTTGGGTCAAATTATTTTGTTTCTTTAATTTTATTTAATTCTTTCTTTTGAGTAGAGAAGAGAGTGAGAGATATTTATTTATTTATTTGGGGTTTTAAAAACCTACATAATTATTATAAATTATTGCAATTTCTTGGAGTCTCAGTTCATTGCATGTGTGTATTGGCTATTTTTATTTTAATTCAAAGAAAAATATATATTATTTTGTGTGGCTATTATAGGGTCTAGATACTGTAGAATATCAAATTAGAAGTGCAAATTTTCTTATGTGTAGGTTGAGTTNAAATGTACATGAATACAACTGGGGAGTCAACTGACTTCAATACAGAGAGACACCCACAGCCGAGTGCTCTAGAACTAAACCTACCACAGCACACACTAGACACAACTCACACTAAACACTCCCAACAGGAGAATAGACAAGAAAAAGCTCCCAACAGGAGAATACACGAAAAGCACTCCCAACGGGAGAGAAAGAAAGGAAAACACTACCCACACACAGGAGAATTACAACACAGAACACCCACAAAAACAAAATACTAAAAAACAACACCATACTAGATAGAATAAGGCCCTCCCCACCAGCCAGACAAACTCCGACCCAACACCACGCGAACCAACACAGAAGCACAGAACTAGCCACAGCCTAGAAACTCCCTTCAACGACGGCTGACTAAACCAGACCAGTCCAGCTCCCTCCCTAGGCAGAACCAGCAAGACAACACTGGGAGGCTCGCACCTACCCCCATCTGCACATAACCAGCAAAGACCACCCGAAATCAACCAAAGCCGCAGGGCACCTCTGCCAGGACGCTCTTCAATCCAGCACCAGAGAGAGAAGAGGGCAAGGGGAGAAAGAGGCACAAACCTCAGAGTCGGCCGCCAGCGGCGACCCACCCCGGCAGAAACCGGCTTTGCCGGCGAGAACCGGCACTCCAAATCCCGCTATGGCCGCTTGAACAAGGCGTAAATCCACACTGGAGGAGGAACCGACTGTTAGTGTTATATACTGAAAGCTTGGCTTTGCATGACATTTACCCTTTATGAATGAGAATCATGTTAGATTAAACAAGTTCTACGTTCTGTTGTTCTGCACTTAGATGGAGTGGGTCGTCATCGGGCGAATCGAAGATCACTCTATCAGTTACTTGCGTATAAGAATAGTTGTTCACAACCTAGATGGACATGAACACTCCTTGTAGTGTCAACTGTACAGTTTGTCTTGACTGATTAGTTGCATTAGTACATTTATGTATTGAACAAGATCCCAGAGAGGAGAAGTTCATTTTATACTGATCGTCGTAAATGAACTAGGCCTCGGTTAATTACTGCGTTCTCTTAACCCGTAAGATATTAAACAAACAGATATATATAATATATATTACTTTGATTCACATGGGTGAGGTTCAGTTCGCTGGATTAATATTCCTACTGTTTTGGGTAATATTATTATATATAGGATGTGCTGTTAGGATATTTACGGTCACCATGTGCGTTAGTTTGATGATGTCCCCGGAGTGAGTTCATGAAGAATTGTTATGCTAAACACTGCAGGTGGATTAAGTTCCGGCATAATAAGAATGTGATGAACGAGCGCTAGCTTCGGTGAAATAATAATAAATTAATTAATTCTTGATTGTCAGTAATCGAATTAATTAATGGACATTATATCTTAAACGTGGGGAGGTAAATCGAGTAATTATTATTGGAGTCTCAAATGTAATTTGGGCTAGGGAAAGGGAGTGCAATAATATAATGTTGGTGGTCCATTAATATTATTTAATTAATTAGAGGAGTGAGTTTGACCCACAGTTAGTCTAATTAATTAAGGAGCCATTTTCCTAATCTCCTTAGGGTCCCTACTGTAGCTCTATATATACATCATTAAGCTCATGAGAAGAGAACCCCAATCCTATTCTCACGTGAAACACGCCTCTCTCTCTAGATCTCATTCGAATTTTATATTCTTCTTGTTGCTCCAATGGTACAAGTTGAAGAAGGGTGTATTGAGTAATACAGTAGAAGATCTGTAGGTAAACCGAGACGAAATATATTTTGACCTACAGAACTAACCGGGAGTCCGATTGAGACGTACAGTATACCCAGACGACTGTCTCGACGAGAGCTTTCCATCGCCGCCGACGTCGCCGGATTCCGACGCCGCACACGCCCTCACGCGCCGCCAGAAGGAGCCTGACTGCAAAAATTTGTTTTGATCTGTTTGCATCCGTTTGATCCGATTTTGATCTGATCTTGTTCGTGCAACCCAAGACGTGATTTGCGGTCAATCAATTGCGGTCAACCGTTCGTGGTCAGCCAGATCTACATAAATTTTAAGCCGTAAGTTCTCTACGTCAAACCTTTAGATCCGCTGCGCATAGGTTTACGTTTGCTATTGAATTTGTGATTTGTACATAACGAGATCCTCACAGATCCCAACACCGACACACTAGGAGGTCCGATGCCCACCCCCATGCTGGTGGATGTCGCGCGGTGACGGAGAGGCCGCCGGTGAAGAGGCGTAGCGGCGAAAAGCAAGACCTAGGTTTTTGAGATTTGGGGGAAAGGTTACAGTGCAGAGAGAGAGAGAAAAAGGAAACTCACATGTGTAGGTTGAGTTATAGGTATATTTTGTTGGTTCACAACTATTCATTCATATGACATCACTTATTTGTTATAATGATGATTAGACTTGTCATTTTAGGTGGCATATTTGTATCTTCTTTCTCAAACTCCAATAATTTCAATTAGTTCAATTTTTCACTTATTGGGCTAATTTGTACATTTCTTTATTTGAGCCGTGTAGAATTTTTTTTCAATCGGGTCAGTGTTTTACTTATTGGGCTGACATCTTTTACATCTCAATATATATATATACTTTCTTTCCTTTACATTACACAAGCAAAACAAATCATTTGTAAACCAATTAATAAGTGTGTCGGATTTTTTGACAAATTGCTCATCACATAAATAATGTTTGACCAATGATCTTTGATTTTGAAAACTAAAAGTTGTGTTTTAACAATCCTCCGTGTGATCAATTTTCTGTCGTATAATTTGTTCATTTTATTAATATTTTTAGGTGCATTTGTGAGCGTAAGTTCTTTCTCAATAGTCTTTTGATGCAATTGAATCTATTTGTTTAAAATTTGGAGGTATCATCTTCAAACACAAAAGTTTTGGTATTATGGGCCGGTTGTGCATCTCACAAGCAGAGATTCCTAGTTTCTATTATTTCCCTGACTTTAGTTTTACTAGTACGAACCCCGTGCGATGCACAGGTAGGAGATATTCATTAATATTTATATATTAAAAATTTCAATGTCATCTAAAATTTAAATTGTGCAAAATCCGACAACGAAGCGCAGCTTGAGTGGTAAGGCGTTTCACTTATGACCAATAGGTCATGGGTTCGAGTCACCGAGTAGGGGAACTGAGAACATTATTGATCTTCTATAAGAAGAAAAAGAAAAAAAAAATATAAAATTAATACACAACTCTTACGCTGCATGTAACTCAGGACCGGCTCTAGGGGAGGCACCATAGGCCCATGCCTAGGGCCTCAATTTTTTTTAATGTATTATGTATTTGTGTTTGGTTTTGTTTATTTACACAAATAAAAGGGTTAACGGCTAAATATGACCTTGGCCCATTACACAAATCAAGAATCTAATTAATGAAGGGACTAATAGCAAAATATTTACTTTGTGTAGAAATTTGAGGGTCTAAATATTTTATTTGTTTATTTATAATGTTCGGTCAGAACAAGTTGTGCGAGAATAAATATTCTTTGTTGTAATATGATTTTTATTTTCTCCTCTTTGTTGTCTTCGTGATTGCTTAAATGCAAATTTATTAAAGGTAATTTTTTCAAGGTCTAGAAAAACAAGAAAAATTATTTTTTTTCAATTACTTATTTATTTAATAATCTTGTTCAATTAGATTTTTTTCTTGTATGATTCTATTTATAAATAGCTCTACCACGCAAGTTTAAATCGGGAAATTCGAAAAGGTAAAATTTGTTTGGGGCTTCCAAATTTCTGGTGACGGCCCTGTTAATGGGTCTTTATCAGTGGTCTTTATCAGGTTTGAATAGAGATGGTTTTTAGATCTTGAACTAGTGTGGTCTTTATCAGGTTTGAATAGAGATGGTTTTAACACATGTAGATGTGTAAGGAAGCATTGGAAGTTTTGTTGAATATTAAACTTGATTATAAATATAATATTGTATTTTAAAAAATTATCTAGAAGGTGGTAGATTACATTTGTGTAGGATAATCTAGGAAAAGATAATTATGGCATGTGTAGAAGTATGTAGAATAGATTTGTGTAGAAAAATCTAGGAAAGTGTATTATGTAGCATGAACTAGAAATTTCTACCTTCTTCTGAGATTACCTATAAATATACCATGTATGATGTAAATTGAATTGATGAATGTTTGTCCCATTTTTGTTGCGTTTTTCGTGTTTATTTTATCTTTCTTTTTCTCCATTTTAGGTCATTTCTTTCGTTTTTAGTCCGTTTCGTGTTTTATTATATGTTTTCCTTCATTTTGAGTTTTTAGGTGTTTTTCGTTTGTTTTTCCGGTTTCTTTTTGTGTTTTGTCGTTTTTGGTGTGTAGGTCGGAAGCTTCGGGAGAATTTTCTCTTCAGTAAAAATTAGTTTCGAGAGCATAATTTGATAGATGGGTTCGTTAGCTACGCGTAGGAAAAAACGGAACCCAATTTCGAGTTCGGACGAGCTCAAACGAGGCCAAAACGTAAAGTGGCGCAGTGCAGCCCGGGTCGCGACCCGCGACCGCGCCCGCGACCCGCGACCAGCCCCTCGCTGGGCCGACCCTGTTTTTATTTTTGCTCGTTTTTACTCGTTTTAGCTCCGTTTTTCGTGCACTATATATCAAAACGATCCTTAGACTCGTGGGAACAATCCCCAATATTCTTTTTTCACTTTCTCCTTCTCTAAAAACTCAGATTTAGATCGTTCTTTTTGCTCAATTCTCTCTTTACTTTTCCGAATTTAGCTTTGTCATTGGATTCGAAAATTGGATTTCTATTAATCGTAAGTTTCTCTTTTCATCTAATTCGTGAATATGATGGCTTTGATTGTTGAGATTGTTGATTTTGAATTCCATATGAGTGGCTAAATCGTTTCGCTAGGGATAGGGGATGATGATAATGTTTAGAATTTAATTGTAATTATCATGCTTGTTGATCGCTCAATTTATGCGAGTTGTTCTTAACTAGGGTTTATAATTCTCGTACATTGAATGTTGATTATTGTCGAAAGAGTGACACTTCGATTTGCAATTGATCTCCATTTGAATATGATTCGTTCTTGTGGGATGTGTTTAAATCTATCGAACTAGTAGATTAACAATCGTCTAGGATAATTTAATCAACTCTTAGAATCGAAAAGGGAGGAGTTGATCGATCTAGGCTCGCATGAAATAGACTTGTTCGGAAACGTATTGTCTAAGTGTTGTGTGATTTGTTTGATTTACCGTCTATGTTATCCTCTTGTTACGAAGAGTTATTGAGGACTATCTCTAGACGTTAGGTTGCTCGAATCATTTAACCGAATGAACTTAACTTGATATTTGCATTGGTTAGAAAATCATCATCCCCGACTCCTTAGCTTCTTATCCTTTGATCTTCATCTTTGCTTTTAAGTTCGACTTTGCATTGTTTGAATTCTCTTTCGTAGTTGATAATTAAAAACCACTATCTTGATTAGAGTGTTTAGGATTTATTTTTCTTTAATGTGTTATCAACACCATTCCTAGATTCCGAACCGCTTTCCTCGAGAGATCGACCCAGGGAACGAATTTTTTGATTCAGTACTCGGTAAAAATATATTTTGCTACAACAATGAAAAAAAAAAGTTTCTACCTCCTTCCAATAAAATCTTAGTCTAGCCATCTTCACACTACTCATTCTACTCAACATTCACATACAAAATATATACATATTCCAACAAAGTAGTACCAGAGCCAAGTTCATTCCCTAATGGCGAACAACCTACAACCATTTCAAGTCCCGATTCTCAACAAGAGCAATTTTGATAATTGGAGTATTAAAATGAAGGCTCTACTTGGAGCTCACGATGTTTGGGAGATTGTAGAGAACGGGTACGAGGAATAGCCGGATGAAGCAACACTATCCCAACAACAAAAGGATAGGCTAAGGGATTCAAGGAAGATGGCTAAGAAGGCTCTCTTCATTATCTACCAAGCATTGGGAGATGACGATTTCGAGAAGATCTCGAGCGCATCCACCGCGAAAGAAGCTTGGAATAAGTTACAAGTCTCGTGTAAAGGTGCAGAGCAAGTAAAGAAGGTACGTCTCCAAACTTTACGAGGTGAAGTTAATCCCTTAATATGAAGGAATCCGAATCTATATCGTATTATTTTACTGGAGTATTGGCGGTATCAAATCAAATGAAAAGAAATGGTGAAAAATTGGAGGAAGTTAGAATAATGAAAAAAATATTGCGCTCATTAACTCCAAAATTTGAGCATATTGTTATAACAATTGAAGAAACAAAAAATTTGGAGGAGATGTCGATAGATATGTTAATGGGCTCATCACAAGCTTACGAAGAGAAACATAAAAAGAAGCAAGATCTTGTAGAACAACTTTTTAAAATGCAAGTGAGCTCGAAAGAAAAGGATGAAGGGTCGAGCAACAACCGTGGTGAATATTGGAGAGGTCGTAGCCAAGGACAAGGCCGAGGCCGAGGACGTGGCCAAGGTGGCTATACCAATTATGAAAAGAAAGAGTACGGTCGAGGAAGGAGTAACAAAAAATCGAGGTACGATAAGTCTTCCTCAAAATGTTATAATTGTCATAAATTTGGACATTTTGCTTCTGAGTGCAGAAGCCAAAGGCTTAATATTGAAGAGAAGGCGAATTTCGTAGAGAGCAAAGATGAAGCCAAAGCAAGTTTGCTTTTAGCTTACAAAGGAGAGGAAGGAAGACAAGATGACACTTGGTACCTCGACACTGGAGCAAGCAACCACATGTGTGGAAAAAGGGTATGTTTATGGAGCTCGACGAGTCGGTAAGTGAGAATGTCTCATTTGGTGATGATTCTAAAATTCCAGTCCAAGGAATAGGAAAAATACTAATTCGTTTGAAAAATGGAGGTCATGATTTTATCTCAAATGTTTACTATGTGCCCAATATGAAAAATAATATTTTGAGTTTGGGTCAACTCTTGGAGAAAGGTTGTGATATTCGCATGAAGGATTATAACCTTTCAATAAGAGATACCAAAACTAATTTAATTGCTAAGGTGCCAATGTCAAAAAATAGAATGTTTTTATTAAACATTCAAAATGATGTGGCGAAATGTCTTAAATCATGTTATAAAGATTTATCATGGTTGTGGCATGTTTGTCCCATTTTTGTTGCATTTTTCGTGTTTATTTTATCTTTCTTTTTCTCCCATTTTAGGTCGTTTATTTAGTTTTTAGTCCGTTTCGTGTTTTACTATGTGTTTTCCTTCATTTTGAGCCTTTAGGTGTTTTTCGTTTGTTTTTCCGGTTTTCTTTTGTGTTTTGTCATTTTTTGTGTGTAGGTCGGGAGCTTCGGGAGAATTTTATCTTGAGTTAAAATTGGTTTCGAGAGCATAATTTGATAGATGGGTTCGTTAGCTACGCGTAGGAAAAAACGGAACTCAATTCCGAGTTCAGACGAACCCAAACGAGGCCAAAATGTAAAGTGGCGAGGGGCTGGTCGCGGGTCGCGACCCCTTCGATATGGGCACTTGAATTTTGGAGGGCTGGAATTACTATCAAAAAAGGAGATGGTAAGAGGGTTACCATCAATTAAGCATCGGGATCAACAGTGCGAAGGGTGTCTACTCAGGAAGTAATCTAGGAAGCCATTCCCGAAGGAGTCACTTTCAAGAGCCCAAAAGCCATTGGAGCTAGTTCATGCTGATATATGTGGTCCGATAGCTCCAAGTTCACTCGGTAAAAGTAATTATTTTCTGCTTTTCATTGATGACTTTTCTAGAAAAACCTGGGTTTATTTTTTGAAGCAGAAATCCGAAGCATTAGAGGCCTTCAAAGAATTTAAAGTCATGGTCGAAAAGCAGAGTGGCATCAAAATTAAAGCCTTAAGGACTGATAGAGGGGGTGAGTTCATATCAATGGAGTTCATGGAATTCTGTCGAGAAAATGGAATTAGAAGGCCACTAACAGTCCCAAGATCCCCCCAGCAGAATGGTGTTGTTGAAAGGAAGAATCGCACCATTCTCGAGATGGCGAGGAGCATGCTCAAGACAAAGAATCTTCCGAATGAATTCTGGGCCGAAGCGGTGGCATGTGCGGTGTATCTCTCCAATCGATCTCCAACAAAGAGTGTTTGGGGAAAGACTCCACTAGAAGCTTGGAGCAGTGTAAAGCCCGGGATTGCTCACTTGAGAGTGTTCGGGAGCAAAGCTTATGCACATGTACCAGATGAGAAAAGAAAAAGCTCGACGACAAAAGCAAGGTCTTCATAATTATCGAGTACGATTCTAACTCTAAAGGATACAAGTTATATAATCCTAATACTAAACAGATCGTGATAAGATGAGATGTGGAGTTCGACGAATAAAGAACATTGGATCTTAGTTCCAACGAGGAGTTAAGTTACATTCCACACTTTGAAGAATCAAAGACGGAGGAGCAAGAAGGAGACGTCGGGCAGGAGGATGTGACCCCACCAAACTCACCTGGGCCAAGCAATGAAGACTCGCCACCATCTTTCTTAAATGAAAGAGTCGCGCCACGTGAAAGAAGTCTTCACGAAGTATATGAAAACACTCAAAGGTTAGAAGATCTTACAATTTTTTTGTCTGTTTGCTGATAATGAGCCAATAACCTTTGAGGAAGCTGAGCAAAGTGAAAAGTGGCGAGATGCAATGGATGAGGAAATCAAAGCCATCGAGAAGAATACTACGTGGGAGGTTGCAACGCTCCCTAAAGGCCAAGAAGATAAGGTTCTAAAATTGAAAAAGGCCCTATATGGGTTAAAGCAAGCACCGAGGGCATGGAACAAAAAGATCGATAAATACTTGGAAGAGAATGGGTTCATCAAATGCCACATGAGCATGCTCTCTATGTCAAGGTCAAAGGTGATGATATCTTAATTGTATGTTTGTACGTGGATGATCTTATCTTCACAGGAAATAATCCAAGGATATTTGAAGAGTTCAAGAAAGTGATGACTATAGAGTTCAAGATGACCAACATCGGCCTCATGGCGTACTACCTCAGTATAGAAGTCAAGCAACTTGGGGATGGAATTTTTATCACTCAAGAAGGATATGCCAAAGAGATCCTCAAGAAGTTCAAGATGGAAAATTGCAAGCCGATTAACAAAGCAGCAGAGTGCGGGAACAAGTTGTCCAAGCACGATGGAGGAGAAACGGTGGATTCTACACTTTTCAAGAGTTTGGTTGGTAGTTTAAGATACTTGACATGTACAAGACCCGATATTCTCTACGCTACCGGAGTCGTGAGTCGCTACATGGAAAATCCAACCACTACACATCTCAAGGCGGCAAAGAGAATTCTTCGATATTTGAGAGGTAAACTCAACTATGGTCTACTCTATTCAAATACTAATAATTACGAACTTGTTGGGTATAGTGATAGCGAATGGGCTTGAGACAATGATGATCGAAAAAAGTACAAATGGCTTTGTATTCTTTATGGGAGCTGCATTCACGTGGATGTCGAAGAAGCAACACATAGTCACACTGTCAACATGTGATGCAGAATATGTAGCAGCCACATCCACCGTATGCCATGCAATCTGGCTAAGAAACCTGCTAAATGAGCTTGGGTGGCCACAAAAGAAGGCCACAACAATTTGTGTAGACAACAAGTCAGCGATTGCACTAGCGAAGAATCCGGTGATCCACAATCGGAGCAAACATATAGATACACGCTTCCATTACATCAGAGAATGCATTTCAAAAAAGGAAGTTCAAGTGGAGCACGTCAAATCACAAGACCAAATCAATGACATATTTACCAAGCCCCTGAAGTATGAAGATTTTACAAGGCTCAGAAGTTTGCTCGGGATGACAAATCAAGTTTAAGAGGGGGTGTTGAATACTAAACTTGATTTATAAATTATAATATTGTATTTTAAAGAATTATCTAGAAGGTGGTAGATTACATTTGTGTAGAATAATCTAGGAAAAGATAATTATGGCATGTGTAGAAGTATGTAGAATAGATTTGTGTAGAAAAATCTAAGAAAATGTATTATGTAGCATGAACTAGAAATTTCCACCTTCTTCTAAGAGTGCCTATAAATATACCATGTATGATGTAAATTGAATTGATGAGAAAAATGTTTCTTCCTCCTTCCATTAAAATCTTAGTCTAACCATCTTCACACTACTCATTCTACTCAACATTCACATACAAAATATATACATATTCCAACAAGTTTTTGGAGTAAAAAATCTGTCTTTCATCTTTGTACATGTTGCTTCATTTTGCACCCTAATCTATTCATGATTGTATATGTCTTCTTGTTTTATGTTTTCTGTTTGTAATAGTTATAATAAAAATACCCAATCGGAACTTAATATTGGCTAATATGGTGAAATTTAATGAAGGTTAGAATATTTCAAGGTTTCTGTTTCATTAGCTAGAGAACACACGTGTTGCCTTATCCTTCCAGAGAACGACATTTTAATAATCTACTGGAAGTGTTGACTTTCACTAGGTGCATTTCCCTCAAAAAAGACAGCACAATAAGTACAAATTATTTAACAGAAACAAAAGAAAATTATTTAACAGAAACAAAAGAAAAGATATATTTGTATCCTTTAAAAGTTTTTTATGAGTAACTCTCATACGGATTTTGTTTCGGCAGTAAGATTTGTATCCCAAGTAAGATTTATAGCGAAAAATATTACATCTTATAATGAAAAATATTCTTATAACAAAATTTACAAATACAAAATCATATCTTTATAGTCATTATTTGTGCATTTTTATGATCTAATATCGCTATTTAATAATATCATTATCAATTTTTAAGAATATTTTATTTTTTAGATCATCATTAAACTTACGATCGTACTTTCTTTCTATCCAATTATACTAAAATTTCACTCAAGTCTATTTAAATCAAAGTGTCTCTTATTGTGACATTTCACCAACTACTTTGTTGACGGAGCTTTTTTCTGAAAATATATCTATGTATTTGATGATGCAATTAGGACTGTACCATTCCAAAGTCAAGTTGAAGCATTGGATAGATTACAAGAATCCAAAGGTGACGTTTAAAAACGACTTTAAAATAATCCAAAGGTGGTGGTTAAAATATGTATCCGATTGCTTTCTGTCTTTGAAGACTTTTAATTAAAAATTTAAAATAAATCAGCATATAAATTGTTATTTAACGACTAACTACACATGCATTGGTTTATGCATTTAAAAATGTAAAACCATACTCACGAAAAAAAAAAATCACGAGGAAAATAAAAACCAACAACGCACCCAACTCATAATTGGTGAATTCGTGGGTTCTACTTCTATCTAACAGTGCACTTTACCATATCAAAACTTCACTGTTAAACACAATATTAGCATACTGAAAGCAACTGGAATACATGTAGAACTATAAATGTAGTAAAATTTTTAATTTGAAATCCAAATATCTACTATACAGTACCCAAAAAAATAAAAAATCAAAGAAAAAAAAAATCAAACATCGCCTAAATGAGTGAATACAAGCCAAGACATTCTGCATTATTATTTATGAAATATCAACACTATTTTCACCAAATTTGACTCCATACATGATTTACGCAATGATATTAACTTCATCTTTTCCAACAAACAACTTCTTGATTGAGATTTGGTTTCAGTGAGGATTGAAAAATTAACAACTTTATTACAAATTGGAGCCTTATTGTACTCAAAAAGCCTCTTCAAGCTTACGTATAAATAAAAAAAATAAATCACTAATTCATTTTACCTAATGCTCTGAAACCCAAATACAACCTTCCACATTATTCATACAACACACACAAAGAAGCCATATAATTATGTTCTAATTCTAAGTAAAAAAACAAAAAGCAAAATGAAAACAAATAAAATAAGAAAACAACATGATCAACAAATAGGATAACAATAGAAGTTGAAATTCAATAATCACGCTCATATTTTAACAGAATATGACATGGAACATGTACACAAAAATAAAACATGAAAACTTATCGAATAGNTATTATTTTCAGCATTTGAGAAATGAAAACTAACAAGTTTTTGTTTGATAGTACCTTTACTCTTTCAAAACATCAATGTCCATCTTTTTCTAAAAATTAAATAAAAGTTACAGATATCTGAAGGAGAGCACATTAGGATTAAGAGAAAAAAGCCAGCATATGAGTTATTAAATAGACATAAATTGGAAGACGAAATTGAAATTAAATCTTTACTGATAAAGAAAAAGATCGACAGCAAGTCCTACCTATCCAAAAGTTTTCTAACTGCAAGAACAATTGACAGGAACATCTTTCACATAAAAATCAAGATGCAACCTACTTAATAGTTCAATAGAGTTGCAGGGCGACCAAACAGAGTGAAGTTAGGCGAGAAAATGAAAGAGGAAACTTCAAGAGAAACGGAAGAAAAAAAATGGCCCAACATTATTAAACAAAAAGAAGTATAGCAATTAAGCAAAACAAATCAAGGTCTAAATAGGAAAACCAATTCCAAAGTTTTTACGAGTCAAACAAAGAAGGCCCTTATGGAATAAAAATAATAAAAAGTTACAGTGTTGCTACTGCTTTTTATTAAATAAGAGAAGATAGAAAGATATATATTGTATTATAATTCACTAAAATTGGCAGATGAATTCACAACTTATATGATATTTCTGGCTTGTTTAACCCACTTGTTGAATCTCTTTAACATGATAACATAAATGAATATCAAGAACTGAACTTGTCAATGTGGAAAGTAAAACTTCACAAAACAGCTACTCTGAGTTCATACAAAAGTAAACAGAACAACAATCAAGGTTTGAACAGAAAGAGTTCTCTACTCTTTAACTCTACAAAACAAAGTTCAAACACTAAAACCTTAAGTTTGAACTTGTCAATGTGGAAAGTAAAACTTCACAAAACAGCTACTCTGAGTTCATACAAAAGTAAACAGAACAACAATCAAGGTTTGAACAGAAAGAGTTCTCTACTCTTTAACTCTACAAAACAAAGTTCAAACACTAAAACCTTAAGTTCAGCAAATCAAGCACTACATCAGGGATACCGCGTCGGAAGAATGACACGAGTTTCAGCCAAACTTTTGTGGTAGAGAGTAGTCTGCCAATCAGGATGAGAAATATTCCACCCATCAAAACTCACTAGGCCATAACCTCTGAAAACCTCTCCATGTAAAGTAAACGGAATTTTAATTTCCCTCACAAACAAATAATCGTCTATCTCACGGTGCTTGAACAAATTAACTTTACACTCAATGGCGAACTGAGCCTCAAAATCAGAAATGGACATAACTTAAGGATAAACCCTTTGGAGAAGCAACGAGCCTCAAGCAAATACCTCACCCAATCTGAACAAATTTCACCAGCATGCTTTTTTGATTGAATAAACCAGTACTTCAGGCTAGGGTCATTAGGATCCATCATAATGTTGGGCCAGTATGATGACAAGTGTTCAATATCAATTAATGACCCTACATTATGATCCATCATAATGTTGGGCCAGTATGATGACAAGTGTTCAATATCAATTAATGACCCTACATTATGATGGATCCTAATGACCCTAGCCTGAAGTACTGGTTTATTCAGTCAAAAAAGCATGGTGTTGAAGTTTGTTCAGATTGGGTTAGGTATTTGCTTGATGCTGAGTTGCTTCTCCAAAGGGTTTACCCCTATCTTCAGAATCTTCGCCTAGGAGAAGTAATGTCCATTTCTGATTTTAAGGCTCAATTCGCCATTGAGTGTAAAGTGAATTTGTTCAAGCACCGTGGTATAGACGATTATTTGTTTGTGAGAGAAACTAAAATTCCCTTGACAATAGGTGGAGAGGTTTTCAGAGGTTATGGCCTTGTGGGTTTTGAATTTTGATGGGTGGAATATGTCTCATCCCGATTGGCAGACAACTCTATACAACAAAGGTTTGGCTGAATCCCGTGTGATTCTTCCGATTCTTCCGTCGCGGTATCCCTATTTTAGTGCCTGATTAACAGTTAAGATTTTAGTGCTTGATTTGCTACAGTTAAGATTTTAGTGCTTGATTTGCTACAGTTAAGATTTAAGTAAAGAATATTTCTGATCAATTTGAAAATGTGTATATGAAAGCAACAATTGCATATATTTTAAAACTTTCTAAATAAGGTATAAATAAGGTATGCATTAAATGCTTCCAGATTTCTTTGCTATTATTTTTAATAAATGCTTATTTTCTTTATATAGATATAGAATATAGATACAGATTTAATATAGTTTTTAAAATAGAAATATAATTTGTTATTTTATATTTATATTTAAGGTATATTATATAAATAAAAGTTAATATTATCAAATAATTTTTGCTCGACACACCACAATATATGTATTCATTTGATGCGATGATAATAAACATTAATTTAAAATTAAAATAAAATAACTAAAATTCTGAGTTCCACAGCTTTTCCTACACAGTTTTATGTTCACATATAGTTTCCTATCCAATTTCTTGTTGGATAAAAACAAAAATATTTTCAACAATTAAGATGTATTTGCAACAGTACCTTGGATCCAAGGTTGCCGTAGATGGAGGAAGGATTTTGAGCTCGTTGGTGGTGGGATTCCATAGAGCCTCTCCTGGATGCGATTTTGTGTCGTGCCGATTATCAAACAAAAGCAACAACAAACCATTGCAACTAGCAAAGGGGGAATGATAACTGTCCGGAATTGGATACTTGATATAATTTTTCGACATTATGGCCTGTATTGTCGATCGAAATTGGCAAGTACTCAAAGCATGCCAGACCTAATTAATGGTCGTCCATGCCGCGCCAACAGAAACTTGGTCTTATTCTTTGAATCGACGGGGATAGGAGTCTGAGAGAAGTTTCTATACAAATTTAAGAGGGGTTTCAATTTTGATTTAAGATTGAGAGACATATTGCCAATTTGTCTGTAAAAGAAGAAACGAAACACTAGGCGGCGCTTTATGTGGGCGTTGTGAAACTGTTCAGGAAGAAATAAAAGAAACCCTCCCAACCCTAAATAGGTGCGCGCTATTTTAAACCCTCATGGGGTGATTTTTACCAGAGAAATTTTACTGCACCGCTAAATTATTTAATACTAGTATTTGATCTCGTGAAATACACAAATATTTAAATTATTATAGATTACATGTATGTATATATAATATTAAAAGTATAAATTAGATAATATATAGTATCACATTTTAAAAAATTTATCATTAATAAAAATGATTATAAAAGTATTCAACTTTATCATTGCATAAAATGAAATAGATAATGTAGTTTTTATTAATTATAAAATGACTAATTAATTATATTAAAAAGTATTATTATTATTATTATTATTATTATTATTATTATTATTATTATTATTATTATTATTATTATTGTTATTTATAAAATTTTAAGAGGTTTGGTTATACCACTAAAGTCAAATTAGCTTATTAAAAATATGCTTAATAGCAATAAAAAGTTTAAGAAAAAATTTTGCAATATAAATTTTTATACTTATTGAACTTCCAATATATCATTTAGTATGAACTATAATTGGTTAGTTTTAATAATAACTATTATATAATAGAATAATTAAAAATATAATTACATTTTAATTAATCATTGTGTTAAAAAAGTCATCGATTAAATTTCAGTTACTGGTTTACAAAAAAATATTGGATTGTAACTTATAAAAGACGAAAAATTCAAATAATTTTATTCTTTTTATTAAAATAATTTTAGTTATATATATATATATATGTATGTATATATATATATACTTTTCATTGATTAGTGTGTTGTTTAAGGTTTTAATTAAAATAAAAAATTTAAATAAAGTAAATATATATTTGTAACTTCTTTTGGAGGGAAAATAAATGAGGTTTTATTAATTGCTTTGCTAGCAATTATATATAAATATATATAGGGATTGGTTCCAATGCATCCACTTATTTAAAGTGTGGACGTGAGACTCATTCCTAGCCACAAGATTTAGTACATCATGTGTGGCCAAGATTTACTCTTTTCTTTTTATTATTTTAATTATTTAAATATTATTTTGACCTGTTGACTCCGGCGTTGACCGTTGACTTCCGGCGAAAATCGTTGACTTCCAGCGTTGACCATTGACAACAAACCTTCCAACTAGGTTAGTTCTCTGTAGTTGTTAGGTTAGTTCTCAATAGATGCTAGGTTAGTTGTATGTAGTTGCTAGATTAGTTCTCTGTAGTTGCTAGGTTAGTTCTCTGTAGTTGTTAGGTTAGTTCTCTGTAGTTGCTAGGTTAGTTCTATGTAGTTGCTAGGTTAGTTGTTTGTAGTTGCTAGGATAGTTCTCTGTAGTTGCTAGGCTAGTTCTCTATAGTTGCTATATTAGGTCTCTGTAGTTGCTAAGTTAGTTCTTTGTAATTGCTAGGTTAGTTCTCTGTAATTGTTAGGTTACTAGTTGCTAGGTTAGTTCTCTGTAGTTGCTAGGTTAGTTTGTATAGTTGCTAAGTTAGTTATCTGTAGTTGCTAAGTCAGTAGTTGCTAGGTTAGTTTTCTGTAGTTGCTAGGTTAGTTCTCTGTAGTTGCTAGGTTAGTTCTCAATAGTTGCTAAGTTAGTTCTCTGTAGTTGCTAAGTTAGTAGTTGCTAGGTTAGTTTTCTGTAGTTGCTAGGTTAGTAGTAGCTAGGTTAGTTATCTGTAGTTCCAAGGTTAGTTCTTCGTAGTTGCTAGGTTAGTTGTCTGTAGTTGTTAAGAGCTGGGCGCATTTTAAGAGCTGAACACATTTTAAGACCTGTGCGCATTTGATCCGCCCCCTATATATATATATAGATTGTATCGAAATATGGTTTGAATTTTTAATTTTTTCAATTAAGAGGTTTAGCATAAAGGCTCAGCAAAATACGGAATAAAGTAAGATTCTCTTAACGGAGAGTCAAGATTTTCTCATCGAAGAATTTTTCCTTCCCGTGGTTAGAAGGGGTTTCTTTTCCTTTATTTGCAGAGGTTTTCTTTGCAGTTGAAATTCTCATTATTCGCCTTTCCAAAGCTTTCTTCCTTGGTACGGTCGTTTTCATTAAGGGTTGTTTTGGGTTGTAGGGGTTAACAATTTCTTGGGTTTTGGGGATGTGCGCAGGAGCTCAGGGATCAATGGGATCGACGGAGGAGGTCGAACAACGTATGAAGGCTTCTCGCTTTGAGAAAAAGAAACCTCGATTATTGACCTAGGTGTGGAAGATGTCCAGGCCAGCGAAGAGGAGTGATAGAAGAGTCTGTTTGGCAAGGTGATTGGAGATAAGAGAGTCAGCCTTGTAGGCATTAAAAAAGCAATGGGATTCATCTGGAAAATCCAGAGCTCTGTTGAAGTAAGGGAGCTTGGAGTGAACTTTTTTCAATTCCTTTTTTATAACCTAGAGGACCTCAAAAAAGTAGTTGGGGGAACAAATTGGATCTTTGACAATCAGTATTTGGTTCTTCAAGAGTGTAAGAAAGGATTGACAACTAAGCATGGTGGTTTTGATATGCTTAAGTTTTGGGTTCAAGTCCATAATATACCGCTCAAGTGGATTACAATAGAGGTAGGGCTCAAAGTTGGTAGAATTTTTAAAGCAGTTTCGAATGTACTTGTGGTTAACTCGACAGGACAAAGAGGTAGATTTATAAAGCTATTCGTCTCAATAAATATTAAAAATGCTCTACCTAGATGTGCTACCATACGATTGGGTGACCAGCTAGTCTCAGTGGCTTTCAAGTATGAAGGCTTGTTAACCTTTGGCCGCGACCAGCAAAGGATGGCCCATCGTGCGTGGCCCAGGAACAAGGAAGGCCCAACGTGTGCGGCCCAACGGGAGAAGAGCCCAGCGGATGAAGAAGATAACGCGCGGGCCGCGTGGCCCGCGTCCAGCCCGCGCGTGGCCCACACCACCTCACAGCGTCAGCCTGCGCCCCACCAGCCTCGCTCCAGCCCAAAACCCCGCGGCCTAATAGAGTTTTGGCGGCCCATTTGCGTGCTCCAGTTGAGGCCCAATGCGCGGACAACTTCCAGTAAGCCCAGAGTGCGCAGAATCAGCACAGCTCGCTCCCAGCTTGTCCAGTTCGCGTCCAGGCGGTCCAAGAGCAGTCCAGCTGGTTTGGGGCATTCCGGCAAGTCCGCGACAAGTCCGGGACGGCCTGATATGAATGGGGAACCATCAAGAGAGTCGAGAAAAATTAGCAAACGGTACGCTTTGAACCTCGCTTCTAGTTCCGCTGCGCATAGGGTTTAATTCGTAGATAGTCCGTGACTTGCATATTTTTTAGATCCTCACAGATCCCAACAGGCGAACGATCGATGATTAACAAGAAGTAAAATATTCGAATGACGTGCACGAACGGTCTATATCGAATGGCAACGAACGAACTTAAATCAGCAATGACGGGCGAACGATTTATCATAGAAGAAAATAATAAATAAATCCACCAATTGGATTAGTTACACGGAGTCATTCAATAAATTGAAATATCCTAAACGACGACTCGAGATTTGAAATTAATACAAGTAGACGATAATGCCAACGAAATTGATTAACACAAAGGATCATTAAGACGAGTATTTCTAAAAATAATCCGCATGAGCTAGAACAAGGATTTTTGCCGAGAAAAATAACCTAAAATATATAAGAGGCGGAAACTTAGAAAATACGCTAAATCATTTAAAGCGAAGGAGGTACCGGTTGCCGTACTGGACCAGAAGGTCCATCAGCTGAGGAACCGGGCAGTGAGTCTTGTGAAGGTGCTGTGGAGCCGACATGACGAGTCTGAGGTGACTTGGGAGAAGGAGGTCGAGATTAGAAGGAGATACCCGAACTTCTCGTTTTGAGTCCCTTGTATTTTATTTTTCTTTTAGTTGTTAGTTTCTTTT